GCATTAGGTGTGGAAAAACTTTTAACTTTTATTTAAGCCAACATTTTCTTTTTCATTGAGAAATTCATAAAGTCATACTGAAGAAATACTTGGAGTGACAATTAAATCCTTATCTCATATTACAAAAACGTTTCAAATTCCAACAAAGTGGTCCAGAAAAATATAATACAATACAATAAATACAATAACGTCTCAAAAGGATCAAAAACAGGATGCTGAATCATCTCCTTCCGAAATCCTAATTGGACCTGTAATGGCAAGAGCAGCTGTCCTTCTTCTGGAAGCAAATGGATTGTATGACCAGTGATTGAAAAAACTGAGTTGATGTAGCAATCACATAGTTGTTTGGGGATGCATTTAAGTTTGGGGTGTGATCGCGTGTCACTTGTCTGTCAGCAGCTTAAGTTAGCGACCACTCGGACTCCCATGTGGCAGCTTGACAGAAAGCAAAAGCACAAATCTCTCCTCTGAGCTCCGCCAGTCGCCTCAGGTTAGGGCTGGCTCCATCACTCCCACTGCCAGAGCTGCATCAGCACATTCTGCCCCATTTAACAGTGTACACAAAACACACACAGTCGGTGTCTGGGACATACCGCCATGCCTCCACAAGTAAAAGCATACACAATCCTATCATAGTGACTGAGCACAAAGGCTGCCGATTGCATCCTACTTGTTTTAACTTGAGTGGGGCTAAAACATCCTTGCATTTCATGTTCTATAATTGTTAACTAGTTCCCAGCAGCATTTTACTGAAACAATGCACTGAAGCATACACAGTTACATACCAGGGCTTCTCCCTGGTATGCATGTGGCTACATGAATCAGTGAGTAAAAACTGACTGTAGGTGTGTCTCAGAATTGTTCAGCACTCATTCATATAGAAAATCCTTCACAGCCATCAAAGAGAGGTCCGTGGTATTAGTAGAACTGATTAGTATACCTGAGTGTTTATCACTAACTTTAATCTACAGGTAGATAGAGCTGATTTTTTTTTTAGATATTGTTAAACTAATTGTTTTAAACCAAAGTAAAAAAATACATAAATAAATAAAATACAAGTCTGTAGTGTTTCTGTTTACAAGTCGGAAAGTTTCTACTAGGGTTGAATTCTCTATAGCCTGTTGTGGCCTGTCTTTGTGAGTTCCCTCTAGCACTTGAGCTTCCTCCCACACTCCAAACACATGCATGTTAAGTTAACTGGTGATTTTAAATTGGGCGTAGGTGTGCATGTGAGCATGAATGTCTGTCTCTTAGTGCTAGCCCAGTAGTAGACTGGTGCAGAGAATCTTTCACCATGGCTGTACAAAACCAGGCAAAAAGATAAATAATATAAATTCTTACAATGTTTTTATACCGTATATGCAACATTGATACAATACCAGCATTTCAGTGTTTTAAACAGTCTTTTATAACATGTTAACTTGACACTCCTAAACATCCAGTTAGATTAGTTTTGAATGCAGCCTGAAGGCAAAGGAAACAGGTAATGGATGAACCATTGTACTTAACCACAGCAGCTGTTTACTCTTTGCTATAGTTGTAGGTAGTCACTCTTTTTATCTGATTCTTGGGAAAAAGCCAGTGTGTGTGTTTCCCAGAATAGCTCTTTAAAGCAATATATTTTTCTATAACAAAGCCTCAGCTGTTAGTGCAGTCACTGAACTCCTACTTCTGACTTATTTGAAAGACCAATAAAGCAAGGCAGCAAGTTTTCTTTTTATTATATTTAGATGAACTTTGCAAAGCAATATTTCTGGATTAAGCAAAATCTCCATGAGGCCCATCACAACACCCTTCCCTTTTTTTTAAACAAGGTTTACTTTAGATGTATATGGGATTCATACGGGATACAGAGAAGGAGAACAATAACCCAGCTGGAATACTGCATAATGCTGCAAAGGACAAGGTATTCAGTCTTCTGTGTATGAGTTCACCTAAAGTGTGCAGTTGAACAGGAGGTGAGGGTCAGGACTGTACAAACTGAATTTGTGCTCCTCAGTGTGTTCATGAACATATTCTTAGCTACGAAAAGACAGCACTGAAACATAGTTAAAGGGGAACTTGCATACATTTGTAAAATAGATGGAATTTATCAAATCAGCAGCTTTAAAACTGAGCCAGGCTGAATACACAGACTTCTCAAGTCCCTGAAGGGGTACTCATTTCATTTTATATAAAATGTACTAATCATAGGAAGCTCTCGTGAGTGAACTGTGTAAGTTGAATTTTATACATATGACTAAATTTTTATGGAATGCAGATTTTTAACAGAATTTCTACATTCCCAATAACAAGGAGGGTTGAATAAAAACAAGACAAGTGAAGATTTTTTTAATAGCTTAATTAATAGAAAATAAATAAATAAATAATAATAATTAATTTTTAGAGAAGTTATGGTATCTGAACCCTTCCTTTGGTTAAAATGGTTAAAACAATGCCAGAAGCCTATTTATATACACTTAAGCATTAATCAGTCTACCTGCTGTTACCTCAGAATAAAACTGGTACAGAGAAGGCCAGCATGGTGGCATGGTGGTCATTACTATAGCGTCACAGCAATAGTCCTAGGTTCAAATTACTGTGTGGGTTTACTCTAGGTGATGTACTCCTTGCACAGTCCAAAGACATACAGATAGCAATTTGCCCATACCTGAGACCAAGCCAAGGCTCACAACCTTGCCAAGCCACTTGAAGAGGTATACCAAAGAGTTAGAAGCCAGGAGAATAAATCAGCTGTTTTCCACTGAACCATCCAAGGTCCAATATGGCAAACTAGTGGAGTTAAGAGCAGATGGGAACCTCTCTGAACAGGTTCCAGTAACCATCACAGTGGCAGACATCTCAAGCATGAAGGTTTGGACAGCACCAGGCCCTGACATGAGTCACACCTCCTGTCTAAAGAAGCTAACTACATTCGATGAGTATTTGGCAGCATAGATGAACCAGCTAATGGACGAGACACAGCCAGAAGGGATAGCTGAAGACCAGACAATCCTGTTCCCCAAAGATCCCCGGAAGGGACCGCTCCCATCCAACTACCAATAATCTGCCTCAGTACCACATGGAAGCGCCTATCAGGCATCATAGCGGCTACGATGACTATTCACATGGCTCAATACATGAGCGGGGCCCAGAATGGAATTGGCAGGAGCAACAAAAAGAGGAGGAGAACACCAGCTACCAGACTAATCAACCTGTGTACTGCCTGGACTGAGTACAAGAAACCCTAAGACTCAGTGTCTCACACATGGGTCCTGGAATGCCTAGAACTGTATACGACCAACAGAAAGAAGGAGGCAGGGGACTGGTGAGTGTCAGCACCATGGTACAGGATGAGACAACAAGCATCCACGAGTACATCAGGAAGATGGCCACGACCAACTGCGTGCTCAGTGAATACCTCAGGCAGTAGAAACCCAAGAAAGAGGAGGAAGAGGAGGAAACATCATAGAAGGACAGGCCCCTGTACGGTATATACCACCAGCAGATAGAAGAAGTGGCTGACATCCAAAGCTGGACTAAAAGACAACACAAAGGCACTAATCATGGCACCACAGGAACACACTCTAAGTACAAAATCCATAGAGGCTGGGGTCTACAACACCGGGCAAGACTGAAGGTGCAGGCTGTGTAAAGATGCCCCTGAAACAATCCAGCACATAACAGCAGGGTGCAAGATGCTAGCAGGCAGGGCATACATGGAACGCCATAACCAAGTCGCTGAAATAGTGTACAGCAACAACTGTACAGAGTATGGCCTGGAAGCCCTGAAGTCAAAATGGGAGACAGCCTCTAGGTGTTGAGAATGACCGAGCTGAGATCCTGTGGGACTTCCAGATACAGATGGACAAAATGGTGATGGCTAACCAACCAGACATAGTAGTGGTGGACAAGCAGAGGAAGACGGCCATAGTGATAGATTTAGCAATACCAAATGACAGCAACATCAGGAAAAAGGAACATGAGAAGCCTGAGAAGTGCCAAGGGCTCAGAGAAGGGCTCAAGAAGATGTGGAGGGTGAAGGTAACAGTGGTCCCAGTGGTAATCAGAGCACTAACTGCAGGGACTCCTAAGCTAGGTGAGTGGCTCCAGCAGATCCCAGGAAATACCTCAGAGATCTCTGTCCAGAAGCGTGCAATCCTAGGAACAGCTAAGCTAAGAAAAGCGAGAGGGGACTTTCTATATATAGTGGGCTACTGGAACAACAAGTAGCCCGCTTGTTTCATTTCATTTCATTTTCTCAACCATCCATCCCACCTGAGGTTGCAGCGTTTGTGCAGGGTGTGGTGCCTTGGGTAGGTTTCCAGTCCATCAGGGGCTGACACACAGATATACAAAATTACACTCTTAAATGTATACCTCTGGTCAACTGAGAATTAAATATTCTAAATCAGAGCACCCAAACCAATAGAACATACGATATGTGACAAAAGACAGGATTGTCAGAATATTTTTGCTGCATCTATT